TGACACAGTCGTTCGCTTATGTCAATCCAATTGGAGGGAGGCAGTCCAAAGAGTTTACTTTGATAAGTAAAGGAGGGCGACTAATAATTAGTATTTTTGGACTTAGGGAACAGGAAGGGTAATTAGGAGGGTCTCGTCATCTGTCGTGTGTGTGTCTGTGTGTGTGTGTGTGTGTGTGTGTGTGTGTGTGTGTGCAGGGCGCAGATGGACCACTGCGTCGCGGACCTGTCCGTTCCTGTTCTGGTGCTGGCAGTGACAGGCCTGCTGCTGTCCTCGCGGGACAGGTGAGGACGAGAGGGAGACGTCAGAATAATGCTAAAAGGCACGACTCTGTCACACACACGTCGGCAGCCCCCCCCACTCAGAGTCTAATCCCCCCCAGAGTGAAAGGAGGAAACAAAAACGGGTGACAGGATGTCGACGTTGGTAAAAAAGGGAACACAAAACACACAGAAGGTGTAACTGTCAAACTGTCGTGGCTGTCGTGACGCTGCATTCACGTCAGGACACTGTGTTAAAATAGAGGTGTTCAGTCTCGGGGGGGTGTGGGATGCGGGGGGGGGGGGGGAGTGGGACCCCATGTGGTGTTGCCTGGAATTGAAATAAGGTCGCCTGAAATTTCTTGTAATTAACAAAAAGAAAATTACTGATAATTTTTTATTTATTTTTAACTATTTTGTTGTTCCTTTTTCAAATTATCATCAAAAATACCACACAGAATAAAATACTGTAATATTAATCTGTTTATTTACATCACAGAATAACAAACATGATCAAAAATTAATTTAAAATTATAAAAAAATGTCTCTGGGGTCGCCAGAAATTTATGATGTCAAAATGGGTTAACAAGTCAAAAACAGTTTGAGAACCACTGAATTAAAAAAAAGAAAATATTTTTTTATTGAACAACTGACAGTCTGGTCCAGAGCGTTTGTCTGTATCTTAGACCTGAGTTTCCTACACTTTTTTTTCTGGGGACCCATATTTTAAAAGTCACAAACCTTCTTGACCCAAGTCAATAGAAATTATTGTAAACTCCTGGGAAACATGAAGCGAGACGACCCAAAAAAAAAAAAACTCTTGTGACCCACCCGAGGGTCGCGACCCGTTCTTTGGGAAACAATGTGGGAAACAAAGACAGTATCTTCCTAAAAAAAGATAAAGGTCATTGTCGAGGAGATGCAAACGCTGGTTTATGTAATAATGATAAAATAATGAGATGATAATAAAAGTGATCATTTTGTGTCGGAGGACAGAGGTGAAAAACATCACAGTCATGTGTTGGCATCATTTAGTCTGGATTAAAATGTTTTCCAGGTTCAGATGATGTTTTTTTCAGTTTGGTGTTTATATATAAATACAAATACAATTTACAGCCGTACTGTAATGAGTCGGTGACTCAGTTGGCATCACCTCACACTGACTGACTGACTGACTGACTGACTGACTGACTGACTGACTGACTGACTGACTGATGTGAACATGAGCTGGTGGCCGTGGTTTATTCTGCATTCATATTTTAGGTATTAAATTATGATTGAGGATAAATATATATTTGAAATTACAAGAATACGTTTGTGAATTTATGAGAATAAAATGCAAAACAGCATTTATTATATACATTTTATATAATAAATATATATCAATATAAATGGGTCTAAAATAAAATAAAACAACTTTTCCTTCATATACTCTGATTAGGATCATAAATCCTAATCAGAGTATATGCGAAATATATTCTGACAGTACAGTATGAACATGGGAACCGTGTAACAGTGATCACCAACTGACGGCCTGCGGGCCAAATACGGCCCAGAGAACCGTTCAATCTGGCCTGAGAGTGGATTCCAAAATCAAATACTAATGTTAGATAAAAATCGTCCAGAAATTCGGACCCTCTGACAAATGCAGTCGGTGACCCCTGATGTAGAGTGAAGAATGTCAGTCTCTGTTTTTTTCCCTGTTTCAGGAAGAGTCGCTGCGTGTCCTGGCTGCTGGCGGCCATGTTGCTGGTCTACTCGGTGTTCTTTGCCTGGAGAGCTAACCTGGACATCAGCAGACCCCTGCTGCTGGGAGTGGTGAGCTGTGAGACGTCTGTCGTCCTCTGATGCTTATTTTCCACAGTACTCTCAGCAGTACTGTGTGTATTTGGTCTGAGTACTGTGTGACATTACGACGGCTCCCGCTGAGCTGGAGCGGAGGCTGGGCTTTGGGGGGGTGTGGAAGACCACAGGCTGGGCCCTCACGGTGGCGCTGTTGGCACAAATGGTGCGCACCAATCACAGGTGATCGCCACACTTTACCAGTCTAACATACAGTATATATCCTGGGATGAACTGGTGTTAATTTACAACAAAAACGTGTTTATGTTTTTTTTTAATCACAGCTCCAAGTTCTACAAACTTAAAAAAAAAGTTTATGTTTAAGTTTTTTAATGTCTCACAGTTTTATTCTACATTGTTTTTTTTTTTACCGTTATTTAATGTTATTATTAATGTGAGTTTCAGTCGATGTTTCCATTACATGTTTTGAAAAGTGCTTCTAAACTAAATGTATTATTGATTATTATTACTATTAGTTCTATTATCGTAGTTATATGACAGTAACATTAACAAAAAAACAGGTATTAGAATCATTACAGCACACGTGGTTTATGTGATAATAGTTGATTTTTTCTTGGCCAGTATTATTATTATTATTATTATTATTATTATTATTATTATTATTATTATTATTATTATTATTATTATTATTATTATTATTATTATTATTATTATTATTATTATTATTATTATTATTATTATTATTATTATTATTGTTGCATAACGTTGTGAAATTGTTCTTCAACCAAAACACCTACACAGATCAGCAGTTTTACATTTATTAAGTGCACTGTTGTGCTTTAAAGCCAGCGTTCTAAAAGAAGGAACAGAATAAAACTTTCTACATAAACATGGACCAATTTTCTTACTCATCAGTTTCGTGAAGTGAACATCAACAGGTGGCCCTCGGACCAAATATGGCCCGTCAAATCGTCCAATCTGGCCTGCAACTGGTTTTTAAAATAAACATAAAATAATATTGTTAGACAGAAATGTGATATTATTTTATTTGTGTGCCCCCCCCGCCCCCGACCAGGTGTCTCAGATTTGTTCATACTGGTTTAATAGTAGTTTCTTTCTCATATTTTACTGAATATTTTCCCCCTGATTCGTCCTTGTATTTAAGTCTGAACTTCAAATGTGAACTTTATCTCTGGTTCATCCATGATTTGGACCAAAGAGCAGCCGATACATGGATGTCACGAACAACACCTACAGTCTGAGCTCTCACAATAAGGAAGTAGATTTCACTGGTCCACAGCAGGGGCTGGACAGACGGCCTGACTGAGGACGGCCTGACTGAGGACAGGTCCGTTACAGACTCAACATACAGACTGTTAACATTGTGTTCACAAATTGAGGACGGCCTGACTGAGGACAGGTCCATTACAGACTCACTGTTAACATTGTGTTCACAAAGGTGTCGTTCATTTCAGGGAGTGCGATCTGAGCGGTAACTCCGTGGTGGAGAGGTTCGGCAGGGAGATTCTGGGCTCCGTTCCCAGAGACGCCATCATCCTGACCAGAGGAGACCTGCCTGGAAACTCGATGCGCTACTTGCACTTCTGTGAGGGTGTGCGGCCTGACGTTCACCTGGTTGACCAGGAGGTGAGAGGTTTGATTCCTCCTCTCCTGCCTGATGATTGTCAAATAGGAAATACATTTTAATCAGACGCTTGAAGAGTCAGGACTGAGCACTGCTGTGAATGAAGGTTTAAAAAAACAAAACACCACATGGAACATAGATTTACGCTGATGATATTGTACTATTTATTACGTTTTTTTTAGGAATAGGATTTCTACAGTATATTCATTTTAAATATTATCAGCTAGTATTCACTGGTGGGGGATTACTGCGTACATGTGTCTTTGATGTACTCACGTTGGCTGTGATGTTGAAACAGAACTGCTGGTCTTCTCACCTGTGTCTAGATGATGACATATTCCTGGTACGTGACCAAGATATCCCAGCATCTTCCTGGAATCCACTTTCCCGGTCGCCAGTGGGACCCGTTTAAGCCTGAGGAGAAAAACACCTTCAATCTGGAGCAGTTCCTGTCCCACAACACAAAGTGAGCCACGGTTCGGGGTAAAGAGAGGAGAGATAAGGAGCCGAGTAAAAGAAGGGTTTAAAAAAGATAAATCAGGGGTTGTTAAATTGACACAGAGTGAACCGGGAGGGCAACAATGGTCCAGATGAACAAGTGGGTGATCTAATGAGGCAGAGATCAGTGGGACGGATGTCAGTGCAGTGAGTGCAGGGTGAAGATAAGCCCGTGGAAGTGTGGAGTCCATGAAAGGAGTTTGATGAACTACAGAAGTCGTTTAATCTACTGGATTTGCTTAAATGTTCCTGCTGGTATTACTGCTCCCTCCTGCTCTTACACTCACTCCTTCAAAGAGCCACTGGCAGGAGACCTGGTAATACCAAGCCCACCAGGGGGCAGTGTTTGCCAGGCCAACATGTCCTCCTGACATGGGGTAACTACGACCTGTGGGACTGCTCCTCAGGGAGCAGCTGATGATTATAAACACGTGAACCCGTGTCCACTCGTCTTCTGTCTTCTCTGTTTCTGCAGGAGGGACGTGTTCGCCTGCATTGGTCTGAACGATGGAGACAAAAGCTGGGAACACAGCTTCTCCCTGTGGCCTCTGGGTGTGTGTGACTACCTGGTGCCGATCCAGAGGGAGTTTCACCCTGAGGAGTGGTCTCGCCGCACCCGCAACCTCTACAACTGGAGCGAGACGCACAACAGGTGCAGACCACCCCTCCACCTATTATTATTATTATTATTAACATTATCCACAAATCCAGTGATTACTGTTCAGATGAGTTATACAAACCAGGGGTCGCAACCCTCACATGAGGTCACATAAAATTTAAATGGGGTCGCCTCAAATGTCTAGTAATGGATAATAAATAATTATTTTAACAAATTATTTTAACAAATTATTATAATTTTTTTAGAAGGATTAAAAACACCACACAATCTTAAACAACTGTGTTCTTTCACTTTATAAATATGAACAAAGTTCAATTAAAATACAGCATGTAATATATCAATATCAATATAATATATAAATATATATGATATAGATACAAATATATCAGTAAGGCAGCCATATTGGTTAAATACAACATAGTGATGTCACAATGGGGTCATAAGGCAGAAAATGTTGGAAACCACTGGGTTAACAGATTGTTTGCTTTGACGAAATGCAAAAAAAAAAATGTATCAGAATTTATTACAACGTTTTCATGAAAATTTACTCCATTATTTAAAATATCATACCATTTAGTGGCAGGTAATGGCCTTAAGACTCTCATTGTTGGACTTTGATTACTCTGTGGTAGGGGAACTATAATTTAAATGTTATACAATATTTCCAGTTTTAGTATCAGGGATTTTTTCTTTAAAATAATGCTATTTTATATCAATACAAATGTAAAGTTTTCCAAAATTAAAAAATACAAAAACAATCATACAAACCAAATTTGACCTTTCAGCAAAACTCTTGATCCTTATTCCCTGTTATTAAAAAAGGAAACCAGTTCACAATTTAAAAAAAATAAATCCACAGCTGTATTTATGGTTTATCAAACCCTAAATGTCCATAGTCCTGTTTTTAGTTTAATTTTAGTCGGCAGTAAAACGGTGTGAACCTCTCAGTTCTGTGTTTGAACTCAAACCAAACTGAACGTCTCCGCTCTTCTCTTCACGGCGCTGTGATCCAGCTCTTTTCGAATTCAAACAGTGCAAGACATTAGGCCGTCAGCCATTTGAAATTAGGCTGAAGATGAAAAATAACCAGCGTCTTATTGCTTTTTGTCAATAACTATGTCAAAAGTGGAATTAGTGAAGCTCCATATTCTGTTGCGGTTGCCAGCAGCTCCTCATTCTCTCCGATATCCACGGATGAATACTGTGACATTATTTCCCGCACCCCCACGACAAGCGTGTCCGTCGATGCCCACCAGCCCAATATTAGCTCAGGGGCCTTACTAAAATATTCTTTTGAAGAAGAGGTCAAGTGTTTGCAGTCAACAAAGTAAAACATTTAACTTGTTTTATTCCATATCTAATGTTCTGGCTGGAACAGAATATTAATGTTATTTTTGCCTTAACCTGCTCAGCTGAGTGGAAGTCTCGAGGCGTGTCTCATCTTTTACATTAAAAAACACCAGAAATATATGGTATATGTGGTGCAATATAATGATCTTCTATTTTCAGTTCACTCACATTTACAGGGTTCACCCTGAGCCTGTTTAGTTGAACACTGCTGATATAGTGGCAGGAATTGAAGAAAGACACACATGGCAGCTCTGTGGTGCTCTTTTTCTTTTTTAGTTTTTAACAGTCGTCTGCTGCCACCTAGTGAAATACTATTTATTGTTCTACCTTTCACTACCACATATATAGATGAAAACAAATTATTAGCGGTAAATTTATCATAGTTTTTAGATGAATTTAGTGAAATTGGATAACTTTCATGTTCTCTCACCACACTGATGGAGAATCCCTGGTATCAACACGCTAATAATGAACACCATTTTTAGAACTATGTTCTCAACTGTGGATTTTTATGTTGTTTTTTTTCCATACGTGAGCAGTTTCCACGCTGCGACCTGGGAGCGTGTCGCCAATGAGGAGATGTGGCAGGCCAGGTACTGTTGTTATTTTTATTATTATTATTTTATTTTTTGGACAAAACCGAATACGTTTTTTCCTCTTTGGAGCGCTTGTTCGCTTTGGCGGGCGGATAAAGTGCTGTGTCACAGAGCACACAAGTCCGTACGACATCTCTTTAAAAGCGCTGTTGTGTGGCAGAGCAGCTTTATCTACATGTCCATTCTTTTTGGTGGCGGCGTCTGTATGAATCACTCCAGTGGAGTGGTGCGTCTGAGAGTGTGGATCTGCGTGGCTCATCCATCCAGCACTCAGCCCTAAGCCTGCGTGCTTTGTTTCAGGATGAAGACGGCTTTCTTTCTATTTGACCTGGCGGAGAGAACGCACGGAGAGGGGAAAACTCGCCTGTTTGACTTATCGTACTCCGTGAGTGTGACGATTATACACACAAACACACACACACACGCACACCGACACTGATGATTGTTGTAGAAGTGAAGATTTATTATCACTTCTTGTCCTCGTCGATGGTGAACGCACGTCAACGGTTTAATTCCACTGCTTTGCTCATAATATTGACGCAAGTGCTGTGCAACATAAACAGTTATAAAAAAATATACGTTTTATCTTGTACCCCCAGCACTGTCTAACATAAATACTTCATACAATTACTTATGTATTGCTTGTATGGACTATATCTAAGACATGTGTCAAACTTAAGGCCCGTTGGCCAAATGTGGCCCTCCAAGTCATTTTGTGTGGCCCGCTTTAACAGAGTTTATTAACAATGAATTTCATGACTCCTTTAGTTCTGAACTGAGGTATCTGTGTTTGTTGTCTGTTTTTTTGTAAATATTTTGAATCTCAGTTTCTTAACTTGTTTCCTAACCATTCTTTCACGCTGATGCCAGAGTCATGATTGTAGTGCCCCCTGCTGCTGTCAGAGTTCAACTGTTTCCATTCACCTCTCTGTTTTCTGCCTCCAGCTGTATAAGGAGATAGTGGAGGCGCAAACAAACTACCCTCCCAACTGGGACAAGAACTTTGCTCTGGCCTGTGAGCGGTTGCTGCGCTCAGGTCATCGGGGCTACAGTCCACACAGTCTGCTGACCTGCAGCATTCACCACTTCAGTCTGTATTTGGAGAAGGAACCCTCGGACGCCCAGGCTCCCGCCATACGCTCCGCCATCGGTCACCTACTCCAAGAGAGAGACAGGCTCCACTCCGGCCAGAGGAAACACCCGTGAGGCCGTCCAGCAGGGGCCGCACTGGAGCCCAGTTGGAGTTCCAGGTTACTGCTGTTCTCCTGGTTCCATCGTGGTTCTCTTGTTGTTAAACTTAAGCCCCTTCCAAACTGGACCAACACTAAAATCCAAAGTAGTCATTTTGTAGAACAGCGGTTATCAACTCGTGGCCCGCGGCCCGGATCTAGCCCACAGAACAGTCCAATCTGGTCTGTGAGTGAATTCCAAAATAAACATCTGATAATAGTTTTAGAGAAAAACAATATTTTTATTTTATTTTATTTGAGTGTCCGTCGGTGACCGGTTGTGGAGTTCGTGCGAGGATGGATTAAAACAAACGTTCTGCTGCAGTTAATGGATGTTTACATTCACTCAGCACAATCAGTCTTTAATTTACTACACAGTCACATCTTTTTTTTTCTTCTCAGTTGCTGATTATTTAGCCTCTGTTGCTACTTTTGTTTTTTGTTTTTTTTCTCACGTTACGATAGTAAAACAGAGATTGAAGGGAACCCAATCGGAGGGCAGAAATGGGGGATTATAGTTGTTGTTTTTTTTTTAATCTCAGACAAACTTGTGCTTTGACACAGTCCACACGATGCGACAACATTTCCAGCCCACGCCTCAATCCGTCCATCAGTCAATCTCTGATGGTCATTTAAATGTTTGTTTTTCTTCCTTTTTTAATCCCTCATGGATTTAAATGAAATATAAAATGTCACCGTGCCAGGGAGTGTTTTTTAGAGCTGTGTTTGTATGAGGAACATGACTCCATCAGTGATGGTTTTATACATTAGTGTGTGAGAATATCCTTCAGTCTCTGTAGCAGCCATTTTCCTGCCAGAAGTGAATATAAGTAGTAAAAAAAAAAACATTTTAAAAAGAGATTTTATCAACAAAAAAATAGTGATGGAAACCATCATCTCTGAGGATCTTCAGGATTGTTTTGTGTGTGTAAATATCGGTGTCACATTAACATTCACACCTTCTACTTAAATGAAGTTTTTGATGAAGATAAAGGACATCAGGAGTGTTCAGATCTGTCTGTTCTGATCTGGAGTCTGTCTGCTGCAGAACCTGTGGTTTGGTTTCCCCTCATTTGCTGAGGCTAGAATAATCCAACACAGATATATTTTTGATTAAAGACTTGGTGTTTTGGATTAAAAACAGTAGCTTCTATTTTGTTTTTATTTTGCAGTTATTCTACACCTGGTCTTATAACTTTGTGGTATATATTTTCATCTAGTCCATTTCCAGAAAAGTTGGTGCACTTCAATGAAGTAAAAGGTCAAATAGAGAATAAAAGTATCAGTCTACAACAGTGATAATCAACTTGTGGCCCGCGGGCCGAATCTGGCCCACCAAACTGTCCAATCAGGCCTGCGATTTGTACGGCCCGGAAAGTATCTTGGTGCTTCTAAGTACTTTGTACTTTGAACTGAGCTCTTCCATCAACTAATCATTCTGTTATTATTATTAACATTACTTGCAAAAGTTCAATGTTTCATATTTTCTTCAAGATTTACAGATGGGATGTGTCCCAATATCAAACCTCCTCTTGACTAATTTTCTTTTGTATAATAACGGTAACACTTTACTAAATTAGGTTTGTGTTTAAAATATATACAAATGTTTCTCAGTGAAAAGTCTCTTCACAAAGAAAGTATTTTTCTTTCTGCTGGATTATATAAAAAAAACAGATTATTCCTTTTATTGCATTTAAAGAAAGTCTAGCAGCTTTTCTGGAAGTGGAGTTTGTGCCTAATTTACATTGTGTGTGTGTTTATGGTCTCGTGTTATTTTTACTCCCCTCTCTCTCTCTCTCTCTCTCTCTCTCTCTCTCTCTCTCTCTCTCTCTCCTGCTTCTCCCCCATTGTCATCCCTGTCTTTTCTCCCACCCCCTCCCCTCACCTCTCCCTCTCACCCCGTCATTTCCTACCACCTCTGTTTCACCGCACTCTCCTGTCTCTGAGAGTCACTTGCCCACCCTAAATCAGCAAGCTGCCGAGGATTGTGGGAACCCGTGGAATCGGCGTGACCGAGGATGCAGGCAGGGAGCCACAGCAACGCTGGAATGTGGGGCGTCTGAAGAGATAAGAGCCGTGTGCCCAGCCAGGGAGCTGCCTCCTGGGGGGGGGGGGGGGGTGGAGACGGGGGGGTGAGGCAGAGTGTGTGTGGAGGGGTGAGATGGAAACGGGGAGAGCATCAAGTCTGTGAATGGGTAGACAGAAACACAACATCATAAACAGAACCGAAGAGCAAGACGGAGTGAGGCAGAGGGGGAAAAGGAGTGGGGGGGGCAGTGGGGGGGGGGACTTAGAGGGGCACACACTGGAGATGGGAAGCCAGCCTTATTCCTCTTTGCATTTCATTTACATCCCTGGCCGTATCGACCAATCGGATTGGGAGCAAAGCCCAGGGCTTAGGAGGGGAATAAAAAGACAAAATGCCTTTGCTGCTCTCATCCCTCTCTGATAAAAACCCCTTCTGTTTTTCTTTTCTCTCTTTCCTCCCCTCCATAAGTAGATACTGTCCGAAATGCCAGCAGAGAAGCGACACCTCCGCTTGCTGTGCATCTCAGATAGACCGTGCGGCAGCGGCGGCTGAAAAGACAGCTTTAGCAGCTGGGCCTATCTCCTCCGCTCTCCTCCCCGCTCTCTGGCTGGATGGAGGCTCGGGGTGGAGGGGGGCGGAGGGCCGGCGTGTGGCGGCGAGTGTTAGCAGAGAGAATGGAGGGTGTGAGACGCACGATATACTCAGCCGGCTGCCGATTTTGCAGAATCTTACACTCCAATAAAAAAACTTTGCCCACAGATCCTTTTACTGAGCAGGAGAAGCCTGTTTCAAGGGTCTTTACAGGGGACACCTATATTTGTGGTGGTGGGCCACGACTGGTGCCAAACTTCACGTGCACTTTTGCACGGCGTTCTTTCCCTCCTACAGTGCACAATTGCAAACAGCAACTTTCTCGTTTTCTGTCTTAGCAGTCAGAGTAAAGTCCGGCCAATCCTGCGACTGCTGTCGTGGAATCCCTCAACCCATTAACTAAACATGTTGGTGTTAACCAGTGAATGTGTATTGGGTTGAATGACGGCCATTAGCACAGTCTGTGTTGACGTGACGATGAGACTAACTGGTCTTAGGTTGGTGTTTGCGGTCACTCTCGGCGTGTGTTGTTTGTTTGTTTGTTTGTTTGTTTGTTTGTTTGTGTTCCTCCAGTGTGTTTACACATGGACTCAGTTTATTTGTGCAGGTGTTAGCAGGGAGCCCTCGCTGAACTCCTGTTTATATTTGGGAGACTTTGTCTTTTCTGTAGTTGAGATGTTCTCACTGTCGGCTGCATCTGACCGACTGTTGTCTCTCAGGAACAACCTGACAAAAGTACTGCAGCTTCTTGTGTTTTGTCATGATTTTAGATGATTTGTTATTTTATAAAATGTACATTTTATCATAAAGACAGAACAGTGTGTTATGTGAATTAATCAGACGTTCATATCCATATGGTTGGAGGTTTTTAGCCTCGCAAATCTCTGGCAAACCCAGATACTTTTTTTCTAGGATTAGTTTTTTAACATGTTTGTTATACTGTGTTGCCAGATTAATGCACAACAGGACATTTTATTTTCCCTGATCAAATGTACATATGAGGCCATCTTTAGTCTTTACAATGTTCTATATCAATATTTCAGGCGACCCCATTTGAGTTCCAGGCGACCACCTGGGGTTGTGTCCCCCAGGTTGAAACACACTGACTCAGCTGACGTTAAGAGGCTCGTGACCAGGGTGTAGAGGTACGAACAATAGGTGCCTGATTTTATAGTTAATATTAGTACAGTCTGTAGAAGGTTGGGTGTTCAGTGATGACGATGTGTAAATATTGTAGTCTGTGATTGGTCACAGTATCATGTAAATTAAAAACTATAGTCAAACTAGTTCAGAAAAACTGAAATAAATTCATGTCCTCTGGGGGAAATAGCTGTAACTCCAACAACGTCCTCTAGGGGATCAGTGAAGTATGTTTGATGCTGATATGTAGTTCTTTCTACCTTTTGGATGAAAAAGTCTTTACAAAGAAGAAGTCATTACATTTTGTATCTCTTTGAATCTAGAAGAAAAGTGGATATGTAGGTAAGAACAGTATGTATGGACTTTAAAAAATTCACTGCAAATAAAAAAAAGTCTTTACAAAGAAGAAGTCATTACATTTTGTATCTCTTTGAATCTAGAAGAAAAGTGGATATGTAGGTAAGAACAGTATGTATGGACTTTAAAAAAATCAATAAATAATAAAATATACTCCAAAGAAGTAAGAGACACAGTATATGGTAAGATGTGTGGACCGAGTACAGAACCCTGTGGAACACCGCAGCTAACTGAATAGACCTGTTTCGACTGTTTAGAGCTCGACTAACTCTTCACACCTGCAGTATTTGTCAGCCTAATGACGTGGTATGATGGGAAATGTATTTTCGAACTGTTCCGAACCTTATGTTGAAACCACAGTCGGGTCAAGTGTTACAGTAACTAGAGACGTTTCCCTGCTCGACATCCACTAAAAACAATGGCTGATTGTATTAAAAGTGATGAAATAGCGCAGGGACAATCGTTCCCCTCGTCTGGTCTCTCCACCAGTCATACCTCAGCACTGATCTTTACCTGTTCCCACAAATGCCCCGTCAGAGATAAGGTCCCATTAGGACCCTTATCCTCCTTAACCTCCGAGACCTCTCCAATCCAAAACAAACCAAACAATGAGATGCAGATATGCGAGGGATTAGAGGTTGAAGGGTGTGGGGAATGTAACATCTCCATTTCCAGGATCAATCGTCAACCGCAGAGTAATCTCCGGCCCGAGGCCTTCTGTACAACCACTGGTCTCTCCACCGGAGAGTTGGCATTACCAGCTGGAGAAGGGTCTCTGCTGGTTGTAAGCTGATTGGGAAACGGGTGTTCGTGTTCTAACCTGATAGAGAGGGAGGGTGGGAGTGGGAGTGATGTAACAGAAGGTGTTTTTTTTTTTTTTTTTTTTTTTTTTTTTACTTCCACGCCTGTCGTCCCTAACTGATGTGTAAATTCACGTGTTTGCACACACGATAAATGCTTCGCTGCATCTGTGTTTGCACAGTTAAGTTCCTCCTAATCTGCCAATGTGAAATAACTTCAGAGTTCTTCAGAGCAAACTGAATATTATCCCCAAGTTCTCGTTGTTATCTTGTGTACACACATTTGTTTATTTGATACACCCCCCTCTCCACTATGGCACTTATGTATATCAAAGGCAGCAGTGCAGAGCGTAATTGAAAATGGCTACCGTGGAGAAAGGTCTCTCTCCGCTTTGGCTGCGAAAAGGCAGAAAAAGCCCCATTCTACGCTCCCTTCTTAGATCTATTTAAATAATTGAGGAGTAAACTGACAAATTAGGCACCTTTATGGACGCCCCTGGGCTCTCTCAGGGGTCCTTCAGTTTCCCCAATACAAGAAAGCACCACCAGGCACAGGATAATATCTCTGTGTGCTCTGAGAGAGGGAGAGGAGGGGAGGGAAGGGGGGAGAATGTGGGTGAGGAGGGGTTTCGCCAATCAAGCGGGCCACACTTTCTCCCCCAGGTTCTAATTTTGTGCCACATTAAAGAGCTCGGCCTCCATTTAGGACACAGAGAGGCATTTTCATAATTTACCGGGTCTCTCATCTAGCTCGAGGAGCCTTTTTACCCCACCCCCCCCCTCTCTCTTTCTTTCAGTCTCTCCCTCTCTCTCTCTCTCTTTCTTTCACTCTCTCTCTTTCTTTTACTCTCTCTCTCTTTCTCTCTCTCTCTCTCTCTCTCTCTCAGAGTCTGTATCTGAATGGAAGGCCTGCAGAGAAAGAAGGTGATTCATCTTCCTACTTTCAACCAATCAGCTTTGGCTTTACACAGTTTTGTCGACACAAAACATATAACCTGATCTCTCTCTCTCTCTCTCTTTCTCTCTCTCTCTCTCTCTCCTAAACATATAAATCACAACATTAGTCATTAACGTCTGAAGCAAAGACACACCTTCAACACAGTTGTTCTTCTGCGGGGAATCAGTGTAGTTAGTTACACTGAGACACTATTCAGGACAAGTGATACTGTAATAATGGAAATTGACCAGCGAACAGGAACTGGGTTGCAGGTTTTAAACCCCTGG